AGCCTTTCTCCGTCAAGGCGCGGGAAAACTTGCCTGTAGGCACGCCCATCCACCGGCTCATGCTGGACCCTTACATCGCTGTGGTGGCCGGAGCGCTTACAACCTGCAACATTCCTCTGGCTTTTCTGGAGCCTACCATCGCCAACTGGATGAAGGAGAGCATGGGGGCATCCGAGTGGGAGATGGGACTCACCTGGCTCCCGGCCTTCTTCCCTCATGTCCTGGGCGTCTATCTCACAGTCAAGCTGGCTGCGCGCTACCCCCACCTGCAATGGTTCTACGGTGCCCTGGGGCTAGTGGTCATCGGAGCCAGTTCCTGCACGGTGCCGGCCTGCCACAACTTCGGCCAGCTGGTGGTGCCCCTGTGCGGGATCTGCTTCGGTATCGCGCTCGTAGACACCGCGCTGCTTCCCACGCTTGCCTTCCTGGTGGATGTGCGACACGTCTCCGTCTATGGTAGCGTCTACGCCATCGCAGACATCTCCTACTCAGTGGCTTACGCCCTCGGGCCCATTGTGGCCAGCCAGATCGTACACACTCTTGGTTTCCCACAGCTCAACCTGGGCATGGGCCTGGCTAACTTGCTCTACGCACCGGTCCTTCTGCTCCTTCGCAACGTCTGCTACATGACGCCGTCCCGTTCCGAGCAGGACGTACTTCTGGACGAGTCACCCAAGGGCCTCTACGACACTATCCGCCTGGAGGAGCGGTTAGGCAAAGACAAGCCTCGCCACGGCCTGCCCCCCGAAGGGGAGGTTTCCCTGGGATGGGAGGGGGAAGGCACCGCCCAGGACCGTCCCAGGGCGTTGTCCGGGGAAGAGTCCTCGGACTACGACTACGAGTACAATTAAAAGTATTTGGGAGGAGCGTAGGAGGGAAAGTCTTTTAAACCCCCTGTTCCTCCGCCTCCTTTTCTTAGAAACTTAGTACATCAAGGGTTAAACTAAAGAAAATCGACCCTTATAACACTGTCTAGGCTAGGAGGGTGGTTCTGGAGGGCCTTATAGCCTTGTCTGAGCAATTTGTCTCCCTCTCTCCACTCTTAAGACGTGTCCCCAATGTATTCAGCTTTCCTCCCGTTCTCTTTGCAGTCCTCGATGTTTCCCTTCCCCTTAGCTGCGTTCTCACAGATGTTACCCAGTCCCATTTCCCATCCCCTAACCCTGTCCCAATAACTGGTCAGACCAGCAGTTCGGGGGTGGCCCTGGGAATGATCTTCTCTTTGTAGTTAGGAGACGCGATTCCTGCTCGGTCTTCGGGATCCAAGATAGTCTGAGGAGGCGACACCTTGCTTGAGTGTAACGCTCCCCGAGACCACAGCTCATCCTTCCTCCTCAACCCTAAAACTTCCCAGCGGGAGTGGGTGGGGTGAGTTCTCTGACCTCTGCCTATCCCATTTAGCTGGAGTCTGTGTGTGCAAAAGTTTGTTCGAATTTGAAAAAAAAAAACAAAAAAGTGTGTGACATACTGTGTATCTCTGTGGGGGGAACAAAACACGTGTAACGTCATTCAAGTTGTATATTCAGGGACAAGAACTCAATAAATACTGTATATACTGAGGCCGCATTCATTGCTAGGTTTCTAATTCACACTGCAAGGTGTGAGGGAGGCCAAGTTCAAGGGATTTGGCAGCCTCCAGGAAGGGAGTGGGCGGGAATGATTTACACACACACACACACACACACAAACACAAACACACACGCCGGATGATGGGCATGGCACCTTCAAGGTTGGAGTTAGAGAAGGATAAGGAGGCTCTGATTGGTCCCCAGAGACTCAAGTGCCCCAGCTGTCCCCTGCAGCCCTTTAATCTGTCTACCTGAGACTAACTGGGCTCCGGTAAGCCAAAACAGTTCCTTTTTCTTGTGGTTCCCCTACCGACTACCCCACTAGCGCCGCTCTCTCCTCCCCCCGCCCCCCCCCACTCCTGGCATACACATTCGCTGTACACTCACCCTGCCCCTACACACACCCCTAGCACCTAACGCAAGCTCAGAACACACACAACTGTCTTCAACTCTATTTCATACTTGTTTCCAGACATCCCCTCTTTGCGATCGCGCCCGTGAGCGCGCGCGCAAGCGCGCGCACACACACACAGAGTCCCCAAGCTTATATACATACTCTGTACATACTTCTCCTGCCCTACTCCGTATACCAGCTACATTCATGCACAAGTACCCGAGGGCTTCCTCATCCATGCACAAACCGTCCCTCTTCCTCTCCATATGCACACACACGTGTCCAGTACACAAGTGTCCCCCCTCCCCACCCTGTACAGCCGGTCCTCACACCTACAACGTGCTCTCCACCTCTTGCCCACACACCAGGTCACAGAACGCAGCCTCCTTCCGCACCATTGCCTCGCCCACTCCCAAGCTTTGCTTCCTTCAGGATTGTTTTTTTTCTGAAGCTCTCGGGGTAGCTCAGTGGCATCTCCTGGTATCCCAGAGGACAGTTAGCAATGTACAGAAGTCCGACCCACTCCAACTCCTGCACACACACATAGCATTAAAATGCAAGTCTATTTAACACATGAACTACCATGTAATATAATCACCACACAGTGAACACGGTCTAGTTCCCATCCTACATGCTCTCACACCTGGATTTTCAGTCTCGATCTAGAGCGTGTGACATCTGAGCCCCTTGCTCCGAGTCGGGCTGTGGTCTAAGACTTGGGATACGCTGGGCAGGGCCCAGGGATAGGCGCTGCCCACTCGGGCCGGGGCTCTGTTCTAGACTCAGATTCACAACCTCCCCACAACCTCTCCCCTAGATGACTGACGTCCAAATAAAGGAAAATAAGGCGACAGATGGTAAGATGTGGCAACGGTCCAGCCAGGAGGCAAAGAAACCGACCCAATCTCTTTCAACAGAAAATTCTTATGTGTGTTTCCAGGAGTGTTTTGTCTCCTTGTGTTTTTATATATCCTTCTCTATAAGAGGGAGTAGCTAATGTGTCAAGCTGGGAGAGTATCATTAGACATATGTGTGTCTATGTGGCACATAGTGTGTGTGTGTGTGTGTGTGTCTTCATGTGTATTCGAGAACACTCTCAGGTAGCTGGGGATAGCTCCGAGCTGCTTGTCTCCCTGGAGTGTGTGGGTGTGTGTTTGCGTGAGGATGGAGTACGGTATCTCTTTAGCTGTGTGTCTGTGTACTACCTACTTGAGAGTTGTATAGTGAATGTGTTTCTGAGGTTGTTTAAAGGGAAAGGGGGAAAATTTCGAGGGCAATGCTAATTTTCTGAGAAGAATGGCAACTCCATCCCCCACCCCGGTGCAATGGCCCAAGAAGGTGATCCAGGGATAGCTGGCTAGGACCTGGACCGGTATGTAGTTACTGAGAATTCCCTAAGCTCTGATCACTGAGCCCCCAGCCCTCAGTCCTCAATCCCTTCATAGAAAAGAAAGAAAGGCCAGAGTAAGCCCTGGGGAGGTACCTGGAAGGGGGCGGGGGTAATAAGAAGCAATTACTGGGTCTTGAGATTTAGAAGAAAAGAGTGTATGCTTGTGCACGTGTGAGCGTGCCTTCGTATGCACACACCCACACTAGTAGCACTGACGACTGCATCATATATGTGTGTACAGGTGTGTATTCATTCGGGTCTATTAGTATGCAGCTCTCTCTACTGATATGTATAGAAATGCCAATGTATGAAACTATGTTTATATGGGTGTAAATCTATGTGTCTGTATTGTGTGAATCCCTGGGCGGGTGTATGCAGGAATTGTAGCTCTGCCCGTGTTCTTGTCTGTGTGTATCAATATCTGAGTGTGTTTGTCTATGTTAAGCGGAGCGTTTATGTCTGTAGTGTTTGTGTGTGTGTGTGTGTGTGTGTGTGTGACAGAGAGAGAGAGAGAGAGAGAGAGAGAGAGAGAGAGAGAGAGAGAGAGAGAGAGAGAGAGAGAGAGAGAGAGACTGAGAAAGTTATTAATCCTAAATGGGGGTGGGTTGGGACAGCTGTTCTAATCCAGGGTCCAGCGCTGGGACCAGGGTTGGGTTCTCAGGATTTCTTCAAGATCAAGGCTCTGCCTCCCACCCTTGGCTCAGGACTCCCATCTTCCCTCCACCTCTCCCCTTCTACGAATGTCCCTAAGTCAGCAAACGCAGCCTGAAACTCTAACGCAGGAAGTAATTTTTTTTCCCCTTTGTTCTTCGGCCCGCCTCCAATTCTGACCGTACATGTGCTTCCAACACACATTCTAGTTTATTTGTGACTCTAGTTTATTTCTGTTAATGTGTAAATATGTGTGTACGTTTCCACGTGTCTCTGTGTGAGATGCTTCCCCTTCACATAACACGCTTAGAAGAGGGGACTCCAGGTACCCAGTTAGGTTTAAAGAAGTTGTGTTTGGAGACCCAAGGTGGAGGGGCAGAGAGTGTAAGAGACAGTAAGAGTGAGCAGAGGGTAGGAGCCAGTGCGCTCCCCTGAATGCCAACCTACCCATGCTCTGAGAGCCATCTCCAGAGCTGTCTGGGCTACAGGAAATTCGAAGAGCAAGACAATTTGGCTGACAAGCAAAGATGGTAACAGGAGAGAGGAGATTAAGGGGACAGAAGTACAGACAAGGGAAAGAGGAAAGAGGCAAGGAGAAAGAGAAGGAAATCGATGGCAAGGCGGGGGAAGAAGAGACTGGAGGAAGGCAGATAAGGAAAGAGTGGAAAGAAGGAAGTAAGAAAGAGTGGATAGAAGGAAGGAAAGGGGAAATAGGGGGAGAGAGAAGGGAGAAGGAAAGAATGAGAAGAAATGAGGGGACAGGAAGAGAAAAAAAGTAGGTAGAGAGAAGGGGAGCAAAGAGTAGAGAAAAGAGAGAGAAGAGAGGAAAGAAAGGGGAAGGTAGGAGAGGTAAGGGAAGAAGGAGGGGAAAAGAAAACGAGAACATGGAGGGGGAGGAGAAAGGAGGGTTACTCAGGGGGAGGGGAGGAAGGGGAGGGAATAAGTGAAGAGAGACGCGCTGGGCTCGCTCCCAGCCAGTCCAGTGGCCGCGGGGAACTGGGCGGCGCGTCGGGACAAGCTACCATGGACAGAGCCTGCCGCTCCCGGGAGCAAAGCTGATTCCTCTGATTGCGGCAATTGGCCAGGCATCGGTATGCCAGTAACCGTGCACCCTGGCACCCTAGCACCCGCCTTCTGACACCCACGGTTGCAGCTGCGCCAACTACAGCAGGTAAGCCGAACAGGAAGCAGAGTAGAGCGGGGTGGGGTGGAAGGAAAGGACTGTTAGTCCGGTCTGAGAGCTTTCCTTTGCCCCAGGGCAAAGGAACCACTGCACAAGAGGAGAAAGTTTTGGGACTGAGCTCAGGTCCCCGTAGGTCCCAGGTGGGTGTTTATTTAGGGGCTATCGCCAGGTCTGTACGTGTGTATAGAGGAAGTGTTTGGGTGACATTGACAGACTCCCTTCGGAGGATCTGGGTGTCAGTCCTGTGGGAAGTCCCAGTGACCTCTGACACCTGTCTTAAAGGTAGTCTTTCATCCATCCCCCGGGCCAGGGTGCTAGACTCCCTGCCCTTATCTGGACTCTCCTGGGCACCTCAGGATTTGACTTCTAACCATTCCAAGCCTCTCTTCCCATTCCCTCCGAGTCCTAGCTCCCTGGGTTGAAAGAAGATACCTAATCACTGCATCTCCCCAAGGTAGCTGCTTGGGTGGGTCCTGACTACACCCAAGGGGACACTCCAATCCCAAGGTAACCTTTGAATTCAGTGTAGCAAAGACTGGTTCCCTCTCTGGAGTAGATGGTAGCGAACTCCTTTCAAAACCCAGAGGAATGGGATTGGAAGCTCTGTTCAGATGGGAAGGAGGGAGGGGGCAATTGGAGCTTGCACATATGGGACAGTGCCAAGGCCTATGCCTCTTCTGAGAGCGCTAGCCACCCAAGCTGTGCTCTCAATAAGGATGGACCTGTAGAATGACTAGGGCAGATAAGCTCCAGCCCTCACTTGTATGGCTTCTATTTTGAGACAGGAAAAGAGAATCAAGCATGAGTGTGATATTGGGTATCAGCTTGTCAGGGGCTAGGAGATGAATAGTTCAGGGAAAGAGGGAATATTTGTGTTGTGAATCTATGCACCATGCCTGCCCCAGCCTCAGGATATCCCCTGAATCCAAAAGATATAGTTCCCCTCTTTTGTTTGGATAGCTGTCCTCTTCCTGAGTAGGATGAGGATTGGGAAAAGAGTATTTCAATAACTAGCATTTATATAGCACTGTACGTATTTCTTTGATCTTCACAGTAACCCTGTATGGTAGGTACAATTATTATGCCAATTTTACAGATGAGGAAACTGAGGCTGAAAGAGGTTAGGTTAAAAGGATGAAGGAAAGGATCATAAGTAGACTTCCCAGAGAGGAGTCACAAAATCAGAGGGAGAAGGGAGATAGGGCCATTGGCCAGGATCAGTGTTGCAAACAAAAGGAAAAGGATTCTGAGTATCAGAATAGGGTGGGAAGAAATAACCTAAGAAGTGCACATGGAGGGGGGATGGAGAGAGTGGAACCTGGATTACAAGTAAGACATTGAATATATAATTGTGTTGGATAGCTATGCTTTCTTTTAATATAAAAGGGGAAGAAGGTCAAAACAAAGGGAGGTCCTAGTTTGGAGAGGTGGGGAGGTGGGGTGAGGATCTTAAATCCATGCAGATACCAGAACTTCACTCCCAGGGATTTGGAGGATAAAGATTTTCAACCTAAATTGTCTCTCTACCTCCTTTCCTGATCTATTCATCTTTCTACTCTTGATATGCCAGTGTTTAAAATCATGAACCTAGCTGCTTTCAAATCCCCTTAGGAAAGTAATGTAGTAGTAATAATAATAATAGTAGTAGTAACAGCAGCAGCAATAGTTATTATCTTATGAAAAGAAGCATAATGTCATGGATAAAGAACAAGTCTTGGAGTGAGGAAGATCTAGTTTCAAGAACCATCTCTGATATATAATAGCTATGTGGCCAGAGTCAAGTTACAACTTCTCAGAGCCCCAGGCAACCCTTCTTGATAGTGTTAGAGATTAGACATGGATTGATAATCTGCATTAGTGGAAAAAGTTTCCACACAAAAATGTTTTCCCACACCCACAAAAACACAAGTCTAGACTCCGTATGTGTGTATATGTGTGTATGTATCATTGCCTATACATAGAAATGGAAGAAAATCACTGATGATTGTGCCATGGACCATGAGCATTGGAAAGAACTGTGCTTGAGAGAGGTTATAGGACCACAAAAGACCTTGGAGGAGATCTAGTTCACTCCTCTCATTTTACAGACGAGGGAGCTAAGGAACAGAGAGATGAAACAACTGGCCTGAGGTCACAGAGCAGCAGTAAGCAGGTAGTAAAGTGTGACCCTGTGCCTCCAAGTTCATGGCTCTTTCTACAGCAGTAGGCAGACTCCCTAAGGGCTTCATGCCCTAAAAGGTGAAGAGGATTCAAGAGAGGTCTAGATGGTAAGAACAATAAACTGAAGCCACATTTTACCAAAAGGGGGGAACTAGCCTCAACAAACTGTTAAGAGATGTCCTCCAGGTTATTGAATAGACATAAATATGGGCTAGGGAAAGAAAAAATTTCTAGGGTAGGAGCCATAGATAATCCATAGAGCCATAGAGAATGGAAGAAGACAGCATAAGAGTTTGCAAGGTCCTCTAAGACCAGTCCATCTGAACCCTTTTAGGTCCTTGGGTGTGGCCTTTTGACTGAGTCCAAGTTTTACAGAACAAATCCTTTCATTAAGAGGATTTGTTCTGTGAAGTTTGGAATCAAAGGGCTGAAATTGAGGACCTAGAGGACCACATGTGCCTCAGTGCCACAGGTTCCCCACCCTTGATCTGAATCCAGGGAGAAAATCTTTGGCATTTTGAGAAGTGCCTTTCTTAACTCTGCTTCTCCAGACAGGTTATTTATATGAGGTTAGAAAGGGAGAGGGGCCAGTCAGCCCTTAGAAATAGTATCAGCAATCAGTCTGTAGCTATATAACAGCTATTGCAGTGGCCCTCCCACTGTGCAAGACACAGAATTATTTAACTCATGCATTGCATTATTCCTCTTTATATTTCCCCTGTAGTCACCCAGTAAAGCACTTTTAAAAAATATATCAACTTTGCTTCAGTTGTGATAAAGAAGTGTCCCCACTTTGACTAAGAGAATTTGGGAAAAATCTAAAACCTCCAGAAGGCAAAGGGGTATCAATGGCTGTGAAAACACAGAGGTTGCATCATCCACAGATATGGGATGCTGGAAGGAAACATGGTATAGTAGGGAAAGCATCAGATTTGGAATCAGAAGACCAAGGCTCAATCCTGGATGTACCATTCCCACATTGCATGACATTTGGGTAGGACTTTTCTGGGCCCAGTTACCTTATCATTAGAATAAGGGGGTTGGATTAGATGACCTCAAAGGTCCCCTCCAGTAGAAACATTCTGTGCTTTGTAATAGAAAATGAGGAAAACCTCGGGGAAAGATGCAGCCTTCAGTTTCAAGTGGTATGTGTCCCCTTTCTGTCTGGGATACTTTCTTACAAGGGATTTTCAAGAAGGCTTCCACTGTCTTTTTTCCTCTCTCAGGTCACTAGCCAAAAAGTCTGAGCTGTCCAAGATCTCCACCCCATCACCCAGGGCTAGCTTCCTTATAGGCACTACCTATAAGGTATGACTTGAGTGACATCAGAAAGTACCAGACCTGGCCAAAAATATTTTCTATACAGTCTGTCATGGCACCCTAAATCCCACCATTAGAATTTCCTTTCTTTGAGGGTTTTTTTGGTCGTTCAACAAGCATTTATTGAATGTCCACTTTATGTCAATACATTCCTTTGAAGGAAGCTTCTACTGGCTCCTCTTTTACAGTACAAACCCCATAATGATGGATAATATATTAATCTCCTATACTTCAGAGGGAATGAATTTATCAGGTTTTCTTCTATGATGGGAGAGACCCAGCATGAGGGCAATGAGGAAAGTAAAATGGGGAGGGAGACACCGAGATCAATCAGAAACTCTTTGTTGGGCTCCTCTGTGCTAGGCAAAAGGGAGGAAAAGAAAGAGAACTTAAGGGGAGAGGGCAGCCCCAAGACAAATACCCTTGCCTTCACAATTCTTCTTGGTGCCATCTGCTCCCTCACCCTTAGACTAGTACTTATGGGTGGTGCACGGTAAGGGAAGAAAGGAGGGAGAGACCAATTGGGCCTTCCTTGTCCTAGCTTTTCACCCTTCAGGGCACCAAGATGTAAATTCACAGGTATAGATGGGCTTCTTGGTCTTATTCTAGACTAACTTGGAATTTTAGAACTGGAAGAGACCTACAAGGCCAGCCATAGAGCTTATCCCTCTTCCAAAGCTACCTTTGTCTCTGAATGTTACTTTGCATTCATTTCTAAGGCTTCCAGCCAAGGTTTTTCCTCCTGCTTTAGACAGATCACACATATACCACTGTATATAGCTGATCATCTATCAAGGCTAACGCTTTCTACTCTTAATCTGATGAAGTTTCTGATTTAGGTTTGACTGCACAGGCTATGTCCCCTCCCTGTCTTCTTCCTGCCCCTTCTCTGTCCCCTCCCTATCCATCTCCCAGGTTGCTGACCATGATCTGGATCTGATCTGCCTTCAGGCAGAGTTACCAGCTGGTTGTAGCTTTGATTGGGTGATTGAATTCATCACTAAAGCCTCTTTTAAGAAATGTTTATCCCTAGTCAAAGGAGTGAGAAAGATGGAGGGGATGGAGAGAGCCAGGATTCAGTAAGACAGTAAGCATTAGTGACTCTCTGGAGAGAAGAAAAAAAAACAAAACCAGAGGCAGAGAGAATAGAGCATTGGAGTTAGGAAGACCTGGATTGAAATCCAACCTAAAACACTTACTAACTCTAGGAACTGGGGCAAGTCATCTAACCTCTCTGTGCCTCAGTTTCCTCATCTGCAAAACATGGATGTTGGACTTGATTGGCCTCTGAGGCCCCTTCTAGCTCTAAATCTGTGATTCTATGGTCTATGCCCATTCACAGATATCCATAACTCCCCCTGCAGAACCCCACGGTAAACAAGAGCAGGGACAGTAGTGATTCATTTGATTTGGCAAATCAAAGGTAAACAGGACAACTATCACATAATTTTTTTTATATGGAAAGCGCCTCTAAGATAATCTTGTCTAACTCTCCCATAAAATCTAAGGAAAGTGAGATTAGACATCATAGTCCAACCTTCCCATTGGAAAAGTAATCTTAAAATTATAAACTTAAGAACCATCAACAAAAACCAACATTCAAATAAACAAACAAATTTCTTTCCCCCCCCCTTTTTTTAAAAGGCAATTGGGGTTAAGTGACTTGCCCAGGGTCACACAGCTAGTAAATGTCAAGTATTTGGTCTGAGGCCGTATTTGAACTCAGGTCCTCCTGACTTCAGGGCCAGTGCTCTATCCACTGTGCCACCTAGCTGTCCCATAAACAAACAAAATTTCAAAGTTAAATCACACATGAAAGGGAAAGCACCAAACACCTACATTTATTTTAATGTATATACCAAGAGTATACTCAAAACAATGGCATTTTATTTGTTTCTGTGAACCCTTTTTACCTTCTGTACATTTTAATTTCGTTATTATTATTTTCTATATTTTTACAGTTAATGTATCTATTTTTCAGATACCATCCCCCATTATGCAAATAAGGAGTTCCAGAAAGACAAAGTGATTTATCCCAAATCACGCAGCTAATTAATGACAAAGTTGGGCCAGAAACCAGGTTACCTGGCTCCCAGGTTATTGCTCTAGACTCATAGAATACCAGAGCTAGATGGACCATAAGAGATCATCTAGTCCAATCTCCAAATTCTCATCAAGAAACTGAGGCTCAGCAAAGTTAAGTGACACAAATTAAAGGTAACACCTGGACCAGAAACCAGGTCTCCTTATGAGTACAAGTGCTACTTCCGTTACAGCATATCAGATAAATTCAGGGTATACTTGAGTATTTCTATCTGAGATACAGCCCCTAGGTCATTTTAGAGGGGCAGTGAGGTTGAAAGGAAAGACTCTTGGAAGCAAATATGGGCTCTGGAGGCAACTATGTCTTACTGTAAGTACCCAGGGAAACCACAGCACTGATTTTAGCTTTACTTTCTCCATTTGTAACAGAGAAAGAAAAATTCCTGCCCTTGCATTCCTCATAATATTTATGGAGGAGCAGCTGGCTTAGACTAAGGTTGGAGAGAAGGAAGTAAGGGGACTCAAGACTTTGAGGGTGCTCTTGCGTCTGATTTGCAAATGTACACTGACCTCCCCTCCCAACCACTTCTTCTTTTTGGTCCTTAGAAGTGGGTGTGTACCCCCAACAAGCATTGACTCCTGGACTCAAGCCAGAAGGGGAGCGGACAAAACTCAGAGATGCCGGTCCTGGAGAAAAAGCCCCACAAAATGACTGAAAAGGATGCCAGCAGCAAAGAGGAGGCTGTAAGTGACCATATTCCTAAAATCTCTGAATGATCAGTGGGCTAAGTCCTGAATTAACAACTCTAAGTTTCCCAGAAATCATTTCCCATGGAGTCTTTCATCTCTTACTCCAAATATTATCCATTTCTTGGGAGTACAGAGGAAGTGAGCAGCTTTCAATTTGATTGCATCCTCCTCTCATAAAAAGGGATCAGCTACCATGGAGTTAGAAATGGAAAGACATGGGAGTAATTTACAGAAGCCATAAACCCAGGGAAGGGACCTGTTCTCAAAGAAATGTCATGGTCTGGTCACCATTGCCTCTATCCCAATTAGGAAATCACTCTCCAGGCTAAGGAGATGTATCTAGAGGTCAGAGTCATGGCCTTTAGCTCCATAGAGATTTTCCTTGCTGGCCTCTGCCTTCTCCCTTGAAGGATGTCTATTTTCCTGAGTCAAGAAGGCTTACACTACCTGACTTGCCCTCTCTACTCCTCCAAACTGTCCCAAATCTAGCAAACCAGAAGAAGAGCCTTGGTTCTGAGAAAACTGGTGATGCAACCTCATTTCCTACACTCTCAGTAAGGCCTCCCTGAGGGGCGCTATCTAAGTAGTTGGGCGGCATCCATCTCATTTTACAAATTCTTTTTTTGGTTTTAAAAATATATTTATATATTTCATATGCATTTGCAATCTGCCCTTCCCTCTGCATCCCATCATTGGACAATAACAACAAGAGAAAAAGAAAAAGAAAACCCTCAGTATAAAGATGCATAGTCTAGGAAAACAATTCCCCACATTGGCAATGGCCCAAAATGTAGGTCTCTCAATGCATTTTAAGCTCATCATGTCTCTGACATGTTTCATATTTAGCTTTGACTCTGTTTAGTTTTGACTCTGCTTCATCTTTAGTCTTCTAGACTTAATGGTTTGTTACTCCATTAATGAGAGTTCTAAAGTCTTTCACAGTTTTTCTCTATAATATTGCTGCTTTTGTATAAATTGTTCTTTTGGTGCTACCTCATTTAGTTCTGTATCAGATCATAGAGGTCTTTCTAGCTTTCTCTGAAATTGTTTATTTCATCATTTCTCATGGCACGACAATATTCTACTACAAATTTACGTAGCAGAATTTGCTTTGCCATTCCTTAATAGAAGGACAGTTCTTTAATTTTCCATTTTTGTCCTTTCTTTGATCTCTTTAGCTTGGGTCAAAGGGCGTATATCTTTTGTGGACTTTGTGTAACTTTTTGCCACCTTGTAAATTTTATGGGGGGGGGTTACATTTGAGTTCCAAGCTGTTTTCCTCCCTCCCTCTCTCCCAACTTTTTGCTAAAGAAGGCCAATATTTGACACAGCTATATATGTGAAACTATACAATACATAGTGCCATATATCAGTTCTCTGTCCTTTCCAATCCATCCTGCACAATGTCAAAAGGTTTTTTAAAATTACATGTGTCTATCTCTCCCTCTGTCTGGCCCCCATTAAATAATTTTTTAAATAAGAAAAATAAAATTCTTATAAGAAATATGCATAATCCAACAAAACAAATTTCCACATTTGCCATGTTCAAAAATATGTCTCACAAAAAAATCAACAAAAACAAACAAAAAAAATAAGTGTCTCATTCTGCATTTCAAGTCCATCAACAAGAGGTGTATAGACCCATAGTTTATCATTCACAAAATAAATCTTACAAAAACATGGCTTCCTACATGTCACTCTTACCCCACACTCCCTCCCCAAACACTACCTTCAAAAAGATTTTTAAAATTTCCAGAGAATGCCAGGATTCCATATTTCCAGTCTCTGTTTTGACATTGATCTTGGACAACTCACTATGTTTCTCTGAGCCCCAGACTCAGTTTCTTCATTTGTTTAAGAGAATGTTGAACTGGATATTATCTAAGTTCCCTTCCAGCTCTAACAGCCTAGGATTCTGATTCCCTTGCTTCTGAGTACCTAGTCCAGAACTATAAAATAGTGTCTGCTCATTGTTAGGGGATTCTATACAGGGCACTCAGAGGACAAAGAATTACAGAACCTTATATTGTTTGCAATGGAGAACCAGAAGGATGAGCTCATGATGCTCTGATGTGCTGTTATTGGCCTCTCTTCTTCTTGATGACAAAGGGAGGCACTTCACAGAAGTGCTGACATCAAGACATCAAGACACTTGTTTCTACATGTCTACCCACACCCCACTGCAGACATACCTGCCAGGTTGCAACTCTGAGACTTCTTCCAGGGACATGCTCGTACACCAACTAATAGCTACACAAACCCTTCCACCATATTCTAGTGCTTTGGCCCTCCTCCTGGCATTTGGCTCCCCAGGATAGACAAGATTCCCAGAAGGTACCAGAATACCCAAATGTTCGATCAGCCAACCAGCTGTTCACCAGACCTCCCTAGACTCCTCCAAATTGGGGATGGTATATCTGAAAAAAAGCAAACATTCTGCTGGATGATAATAGACATCTGACTGCAGAGAGCTCACTACCTTATGAGGCAGTCTATTCCATGGAAGCAGCAGTGGCATAGAGGCAAGCACTAAATCTAGGATCAGGAGAGATACATTTAGATATTATCTTTACTACTTACTATCTGTATGATGAAGAGCAATTTATTTAATCTCTGGGGGCCTCAGTTTCCTCTCTTATAAAATGAAGTTGTACCAGATGGCCTCTTAGATTTCTTCCAGCTCTAAATCTATGGTCATGTATGATATCTAAAGTGTACTTGAGCTTTAAGTCCTCTTTTAGGGATGGCTCTATTTGGTAAGAAGTGTTTCCTTACATGGATCCAAAATCTACTTCCTTATATTTCTAAATATAGACGCTAGAATTCCCCTCTAAAGCCAAGCAGAACAACTCCTTCCAGTTCTCAAATTCTATGATTCTATGTCCAATTATCAATTTATTTGGGGCTAATGAACCTTGGACCTGCCCAAATTTGTTTGCTCACACAAAGGCCGTTTGCAGTTCACATCTCTTTCTTCCTAAGTGAAGGGGCCTCTGCTCCCAGGCCAGAGGAAATACACATCTCTAGGTTCCCCATTTTCCCCACCTTCACCAGGCAGGCTGACTCTGCTACCCTGGAGTAGGGAGGAGAGGCTTTTTTATGCTTCAGGCTAACATATACCCACTGATAACATATACCTCTAGGATCTGAGCATTTACAGCTGGAAGGGACCTTGGAGATCACCAACACACCATTTTACAGGTGAAGAAACTAAGGCCCCAAATCACATAGTAAGTGGCAAAGCTGGGATTGAAGCCTAGGTCCTCTGACTCTAAATTTGGTGCTCTTTTCACTATACCATGCTTCTGATCTATACAGCATCACAATATTCCTCTTCTGGCACCCAGGAGAATAAGCAGGCCAGGGAGATAAACCTGACCTTTGTTTCTTTGTTCCTGCTTCACTTACAGGTCTCATTTGAGTTTCCCATTGGGTAGAAAGGTTCAGTGCAAATTCAGGGTTAGAGTCCATTTGGTAGGATGTCATCCAAAGTTACCTTCCCTGTCCCTAAGTCATTATCCCCCAAGAATTCCTTGCTTCCTCTCCTTTGCTCTTAAGGTTATTTATTGTCCTTTAGCTGGGCAATAGGTGAATGGAATTAAGGTTGGCTTGGTATTAGATGGTAGAAACAGGATCAGGCAAGTGGGGCTGACATATAAATGGGGATACGGTGGTATCTTGTTGATACAAGACCAAAGATTGCAACTTCTGCTACATTACGCTGGAGCATAACTGGAGATTTTTGTCTCCAGTTTCCAGTTTTCAAAAGTAGATCAAAGATGTGATTTCAGTTAGTTCTTCCACTGAAGGACAGAAGGACATATAATGAGGGTAAATACTCAGTCACCACCTGGAAATCCAACTCCCCCATACCAGTGAGATCACAACTTCCTTTTGCTGCACAGCACAATATGTTTTTTGTAAAACAACTCATTGGGCTCCATAGCAATGGTGAGGAACCTTTGTTTATTTTAAGAGCCAATAATCCTAAAGGAGGGGGAGGATCCATTGAGGGATACATACAAATTAAAAAGTAGCTTAATTCAGTGAGGGGTGTTTTTGAGTGATATATGCAACCTTCAATTCACATACTTTAAAATTTTTAACAAAATAAAATTATATTTAAGGATTTTTTTAAATTTTCAATTTCATGTTATATCTAGTTAAGGGATGGACAAGGAAGAAGGGAGCAGAAGGAGAGGAAAGAAAAGAAAAAGAATTTGGAGGAAGAGGAGGAAGGGAGAGAGAAAGGGAGACAGAAGTTGGAAGAAGAAAGACTAAAGGAGAGGAGGAAAAAGAGAAAGCAATTAAGACATATGCAGAGCAAGAAAAAAAAAAGAAAAAAGTTAGGAAAGAGGCTCAGTAGTTTCTGAATGGGAGGCAAAGTAATAGAGGGATAGACACTCACTCTGGAGTCAAAGGACTTGAGTCCATATTCCAGCTGTGACTCTTACTGCCTGCTGGCCAACTCGGCCAACCAACTCATTTACTCAAAACTTCTTGACATTTCTGCAAGATTTGGCACTGTTGACCTCCCCTCCATCCTAGACATTCCCTCTTTCTCTGAGTTGTTGTTATTCTTCTATTCCTTGGTTCTGTTCCTACATGTGTGAATGTTGTTTTCAGTTAACTTTACTAGTATCATCTTCTCTGTCATGTTCTCTAACTACGGGTGTAACTCCCAGCTCTGTCTTGGGTTCTCTTCTGTCCTGTCTCTATACTTAATTTCCTTATCCTATGAATTTAACTATTGAATCTAGGCAGATGACTCCCAGAGATCTGTATCTATATTTATATCCATATCCATATATCTGTATCTCTATCTATCCAGCCCTAGTCTTTCCTGAGCTCCAGCCTCAAATCAACTACCCATTGGACATTCAAATTGAATGTCTTTCTCAAACTCAATATGCTCAAAACAGAATTCATTATCTTTTCCCCTCCCCAAACCCACTCTCTTTTGAGCTCTCCTATTGCTGTCAAGGTCATAAGCATTCTGACAGTCATCTAGGCTCACAACCTCAATATCATCCTAAACTTATAACTCTCCCTCAACCCATAGATCCTATCAGTTGCCAAATCTTAGCATATCTTTTTATAAATAATATTTTCTTTTCCCCACTACACGTAAAAACAATTTTAACATTCTCTTTTTTTTTAATCTGAGTTCCAAATTCTCTCCCTTTCTCATCTCTCTCGTCTCTAACACAATAAGCAATTTGATATAGGTTATATATGTGCAATCATGCAAAACATATTTCCATGTTAGTCACATTGTGAAAGAAAACACAAACCAAAAGGGGAAAAAAATGAAAAAATAAAATGAAAAAACAGTATACTTTGAACTGCATTCAGACTCCAGCAGTTCTTTCTCTGGAGGTCGATAGCATTTTTCATCATAAGTCCTCTGGAATTTTCTTGGATCATTGTATTGCTGAGAACAGATAAGTCATTCACAGTTGATCATCATGTGATATTGCTGTTATTATGTACAATGTTCTCCTGGTTCTGCTCACTTCACTTTGCATCAGGTTATATAAGTCTTTCCAGGTTTTTTCTGAAATCAGTCTGCTTGTTATTTCTTATGGCACAACAGAATTCCATTACAATCATATACCACAACTTGTTACCATTTCCCAACTGATGGACATCCCCTCAATTTTTTTTCTTTTTTAAAATTGCATTTTATAGTATTTTATTTTTCCCAATTACATATAAAAACAAATTTTAACATTCATTTAAAAATTTTTGAATTCCAAATTTTCTCCTTCCCTTCTTTACCTCCACTCTCCCTAAAACAGTAAGCAATGTTATATAGGTTATATATTTGCAATCATGTAAAACATACTTCCATATTAGTCATGTTGTGAAAGAAGACAGAGACCAAAAGAAAAAAAACTACAAAAAAATAAAGTGAAAAATAATATGTCTCAATTTGCATTCAGATCCCATCACCTTCTAATCCCCAGACTGTGCCATCCCCAACAACATTACTATGTATCTGCTCTGTATGGATCTCCTCATTGGACTATAAGCTTCTTGAGGTCAGAGACTGTTTTACTTTTTGTCTTTGTATCTCCAGCACTTAGCACAGTTTCTGGTATATAATAAGCACTTAAAAATGTGTGTTTATTGATTGATGAAGAACCTGAGATCCAAGGGGGTTATAACTAATCACCTAATCACCTCTTGCTGGGAGGATCATGGAAAAGGTAGCCTTGGTGGCCAAGGCTTTGAAAGAGGAGAAGGATTTCCATGGGATACAGAGGGAAGAGTCCCTTCAAGGCATGAGATAGAATATTTGAAAGTACTCAGAGTGAGATAAGACACATCAAGGAGCAATGAATAGTCCAATGAATCTAGAATGGGTAGGGCAGAAAGAGAGAGCAAAATGAAAACAATATTTGGTGAGAGCTAAATTGTGAAGGGTCTTGAGTGCTCACCTAAGGCTGTATTTTACATGTGAGGCAATGGTGTACCTTTGGAGGTTTTTGAGTAGGAAAATGACATGATTAGATTTGTGCACTAGGAAGATCATTTTGACATCACCCTATGAAGACTAGATTGGAAGGAGGATTTAAAGGCAGGAAGACTAGTTATGAGGCTATTACAATAGTCCAGGCAGGAAGTAATGAGGGCTTTAAATAAACTGATAGAGCGGAAGCAGAAAGGAGGGGACAGATTTGAGAAATATTTCTCAGGTAGAAACAAAAAAAAAGGACTTCACAACCAAAAGGATGTAGGAGATGAAAGAAAGGCAAGATGTACTGATGACTCCTTCAAGCCTGGATGCATAGAAGAATAGTGTAGCCAGGAACAGAAATAGGGAAGTTAGGATAAGGGATAAAATTTGAAGGAAAGATGATGAGCTTTGTTTTAGACACATGGAACTTGAGGTATTAATAAAATATATAAGTGGAGATGTCTAGCATTTAATTAGAAACATGGGACTGAAGTTCAGAAGAGGTCAGGACTATAGATATAATCAGTCACAGATATAGTCAGTCAGGAAATCCTTCACATACTGGAGATAAATGAAGTTATACTAGTAGACAAAATTGCCAAAGAAAGAGTACAGAGGAAGTAAAGAAGGAGTCAAGAATATTTAGCCTTTAGGGTTGCTCATACTAAATGGATTGGAGAAGGAAAGAGAACTAACCAAAGTCCAATAAGGAGCAGTCAGTGAGGTTGGAGAAGAATCAGAATATGTTGAGAAAGCCAAGAGGGAAGAGCTTTCTGAAAAGTCTGTGGTCAACAACCTCAACTTCTGCAGAAAGGTGATGGAAAATGGGGACTAAGAAAGAATCATTAGATGTGGCAACTAGGAGGTCATGAGTGATCTTGGAGAAAACATATTTAGTGAGGGCAGAAGCCAGTTTTCAGGGAATTAAAAAGCAAGTAAGAAATGTAGTCATGAAGACTGCAGAGAGAGAGAGACAGGTAGATTGCTTAATGTAGTAGCAGAGTGAAGAGAAAGTGCTCTTTTTTTTAGGATGAGGGACACTTGAGTATGTTTGTGGTCAGAGGGGAAGAAGAAAATAAAATATGTGTAAGGTGAGGGGCAAAGGAGATGGTGTATGGATTGAAGTATTAGAAGAGACAGAATAGGATCAAAGTGGTGGGTAGAAAGGCTAGTTTTGCCGAGAAGGAGGACCATTTCATTGCCTGAGACTGGCAGGGAAGAGAGGATTTGAGAACACACAGGTTTTGAGTTAGGGAGAAGACCAAGATAGTTCATGTCAGACCAGATCAGTTCAGTTTTCTAATTTTCACTTCTCTTGATGTCATCTAGAGAAGGAGAAGGATGGAGTTGGAGAATTGAGGACGGTGTGGAGTTTTGGCAGTTGTTACCATGGGGAATATTATAGAGTCAATGGTAGATAATAAAGGTTGTCATGTATTGGTGAAAGCCCAATTGGAGTTGATGAGAATATTTTTATGGCAGACTAAGTCAGCACAGCTTTGTGGCTTGGGTGGGCAGTGCTCTCCACATCAGGGGTCAAAGTGGATATGGTGGATCAATCAATCAACAAATATTTATCAAGTACCTAATATGTGCCAGGAGTTATGCTAGGTGCTGGGAATAGATATATGAAATAGTCCCTGCTCTCAAGGAGCTTATGTTCTCTGATCAGAGGAGAGAAAATATGTATGCAAATGAATATATACAAAATAAGTATACACAAAAGAAATGCAAAGTAATCTTGGGATGGTGAGAGTTAATCAAAGTGGGGACTAACGACGCAGGAAGAGTAGAAAGGGTAGCTTTGGAGGACATTCAAGAGTGGCAGAAAGTACAGTTTTGAAATAGCTAATCATTGTGTCAAGATTGTGAAGGGAGCTGAGGCCAGAACAGGAATTATAGACTGAGAACAGGGAGTGGTGGAACTACTGGGGATCCCAATGAAGGTGAATAACAGGCTCTGTAAGAATAAGGGAGCAAGTCCCTGGTAGCTATGGGTGGTAAGGTGATACACGCATGGAGGAGAGCAAAAATGAGACCTGAAGAGGAGCATGGAGGAATGCTAAAGCCAAACTTTGCAGATGCCACAGTTTCACAGAGAGCTGTATTCTCCTCGGTGGGAGTAGGAATGAGAGGCAGCAGAGGAAGCAAGGTACAAGTAGAGAGAGAAGGTAGGCTCTCATCCTCAAAAGATGAAGTCCCATGTTCACCCAACCCAGGACTCAAAGGCTGGGCTCCTAGCACAAACTTTCTTGGCCTGTACCATTGATCACCTTGCTCTCTGCCCATGATCAGGTGCTATCCAAACTCCCTGTGCCACCACTCCAGAAGACCCTGGCCACATACCTCCGGTGTATGAAACACCTCGTGCCCGAGGAGCAGTACAGAAAGACCAAGGTGATTGTGGAACAGTTCGGTGCCCCAGGAGGCCTAGGGGAAGTCTTACAGCAGAAACTCATGGAGAGAAGGGAGAAGACAACAAACTGGGTAAGAAGTCAAACCACAACATAAGGCCCAGCTGGCAAGGGGAGAGAATGGTAGAAAGAAAGCATGAGAAGTTCATTATTTCTAACACCACTGGCCCCATAATTTGGCTTATTTTCATAAAAGTCTGTATCCCCCTCAAAGCCACCTTTCACCCATAGTTCTTGGTGGCACTGGACTTTACCCATCCAAAGGAATGTAATAATGTAGCTTCCTTGCACATGTGGGGACTTCATATACTCTTGCTCAACGTTTCCCCATACCTATTCTTTCATTTGCTTCTTAACAACAAATGTTAATAAACACAAGTTTAATACTGGGGAAAGACCAGTGTTGATGACTGTAGATAAGTGTAGAGAGCTGGCTAAAAAACTGGCCCTGGAGTCAGGAAAACCCGGGTCCAAGTCCTGTCTCTTACACAGACTGACTGTGTGACCCTGGGCAAGTCACTTAAACCCTCAGTGCTCCAGGCAACTCTCTGAGTATAAATGACAGACCTGCTATTCTTATGGTAGTGGGAGTCTCATGCAAGGGAACTGCTATGCCAGGTTCTGAGGAGAAATGAGAACTGAAAACACTTAAGGAGCTTGCCACAGTAAGATAGGCAGAGATATTATTTTTCCATGAAAGCGAACTTCACAATGTGAAAAATGAAGGACAGAGAGGTTTAGTTACTTGCTTACTCAATGAGTTAATAGAATAGTTGGATCTAGACCCATATTCAGTCATCTGAAGGAATACTCAACAATTCAACCAACATTTTTTCAGGTCCTACTGTTTCACAGCATTTTGCTAAATTCTGGGAAAGCTACTAAATTTAGCCTGTCCTTATGGGACTTACAACCTAGTAGGAGATAAATACACACAGAGATGTAATACAAAATAATATCTGATAAATGCATTATAGAAGAGAAAAAAAACCCCAAAATTCTGTGTGAGGTCAGAGTGGTAAAGGTCATTGAGGGTAAGGAGATCAAGGAAGGCTTTATGGATCTTGATGGAAATGCCCTTCCTTCTACCTGCCCATCCTTTAAATCCCAACTCAGTTGGGTTGGTTGAGAATTAAAAGATGAGTAGGTAGATGGAAGGGAATTGGCACAAGAACAGTACAAACAAAGGCATGGTAGCAGGAAAACAGAAGGATAAACAAGGGTTAGAAGTTGCAAAGAAATAAATTTAAGCTTGATGTCAGGAAAAATGTCCTAATAATTAGAACCTATTCAAAAGTTGAAGGGGTTGCCTGGAGCAGGGGTCCCCATCATTGGAATTCTTCAAGCAGAGGTGAGAAGCCTACTGGGCAAACTATTCAACCTGTCTCAGCCTCAGTTTTCTTATCTGTCAAAAGAGGGAGTTGGGCTTGCTGGTCTCTAAGATGTCTTCTAGTTCTAAAACTATAATTTCATGATCTTTTGTTATGGGGGGATGGGAATGGATTCCACTCAGATATGGGTAGGTGGCTGTAAAGGATCCTTTTTACTCCAAATTCTATTTTGCACATCATGGATCATAATGAGGGGACAGCAAGCAGCACAATTCAACTAAAACTTAGAGTACCTGGAGGGGTACCAGATTTTGAAGGACTTTGAATGCAATGTCAAGAAGTTTGACCTTTATACTTATTGTGGGCTATGCTTAAATTTGGCTTAGTCCACCAGGTCAGTCAATAAACATTTATTAAATACTTATTTTGTGCCAGGCACTATTGAAGGTTTTTTCTTTCAAAAAAAATGCAACCAGAATTCATGAACCATAAAATCCACCCGTATAAATGGAATGTCTCATCTTGGCTCTCTGGAGCTTTGGAAGAGAACCTTGTATGCTGCAGGGGTCAAGTTTGAACAACTGCTTCCACAGAAAAGATAGATTGCTTGAGTCATGTCCAGCTTACAGAGGCTTATCCCACTATATCAAGTTTTTACCATTCAGACGTTACCAGCTCCATGGGTTTTTCCTTCCCTGGGATAATAATCAAACGGGTCAATGTTATAGTAAGGATACTGCCTAATTCCCTTCAGCTTTGGATATATGTGTTGTAGGGAGGAGGAATCTCTTTAAAATAGGAGATCAAAGACTGCTCTTTTTCTTCTTTGCCTCTGCTGGGTGGATACCTTTGAGGGTGCCATTCATATAAGAACATCCATTAGAATATTAATCTCCAAAGGTGTCGGAGTAAGCAGTAAAGGACTGTAACTCTCCCATATTCACCTCCAAAACAAACCATAAAATAGCACCCCAAAACAAATACTGGAATAGCAGAATCAACAAAAAGACTGGGTGAAACAATCTTTTAGCCCAAGAAACCTGGAAGATCAGCAAGAAAGGTCTGTCTCACTTGGGTAAAAGAGAAGCACAGTCAAGAACAGGAAGTATCCGAGCAAGCTAGCAGCAAGCCCCACCTCAGCAAACCAGCAAGAGATCCTGAGCCCCAATGTGGTGGAGCAGGCAAAACACCAACACCAGTACCCAACATGTGTCTCAGCATAGCCAGCGGAACTGGCAGACTCCAGCTCCAAGAATCACCATGTGCTTCAGTGTAGCCCCCAGGGAAACACAGAAATACCTCACCAACCTCAACACATACCAGATACCAGCACTAGGACCCCTGCTCAGCACCAGGTAAGCTGCCAGATCCCTATGGCCTCCAGCAGCACCAGCCATCCCCCATCCCAATCCCCTCAGCACAGCACTGGACACAAGGTCCACTGGATAACATCAGTGCAGCACCAGGTAAACAATCAGAGCCTGCAGCTCCTGGCACAAGAAGCCTGAGACAGCGCTCCTTCCATTCTGGGAGTAGAGTTCAATTTTACACTTTTTTGCTTGTTTGTTTGTTTGTTTTTGTTTTTGCAAGGCAATTGGGGTTAAGTGACTTGCCCAGGGTCACACAGCTAGTAAGTGTCAAGTGTCTGGTCTGAGAACCAGATTTGAACTAAGGTCCTTCTGACTCCAGGGCCAGTGCTTTAATTCACCTAGCTGCCCCCAGAGTTCAATTTTAAAAGAAAGAAAAAAAGGCCAAAAAAGATGAGCAAAACAACAGCAAAAATAGAATCTGACTATAGAAAGTTATTGTGGTGACAGGGACAACTGACACAAACTCTGAAGATGACAACAGTGTCAAAACACTTTTGGGAAAAACCCCAAAGAAAAATGGGGAGTGGTCTCAAGCCCAGAAAGAACGCATGAAAGAGCTTTAAAAAGGAGCTTAAAAATCATATAAGAGAGGTAGAAGAAAATTTGGGAAAAGAAATGAGAGTGATGCAAGAGAATTATGAAAAAGGAGTCAACAACTTAGAAAAAGAAAACAACTACTTAAAAAGTAGAATTGGCCAAATGGAAAAGGAAGTACAAAAGCTAACTGAAGAAAACAACTCCTTAAAAGTCAGAATTGGGCAAGTAGAAGCTAATGACACTGTAAGACATCAAGGATCAAACAAATTTTTTAAAAATGAAAAAATGGAATAAAATGGAAAATATCTCATGAGAAAAACAACTGAGCTGGGAAATAGCTCCAGGAGAGACAGTTTCAGAGTCACTGGACTGCCTGAAAACCATAATCAAAAAGAGGATCTAGACATCATCTTTCAAGAAATTACCAAAGACTATTGCCTTGATATCCTGGAACCATAGGGCAAAAGAGGCACTGAAAGAATCCACCAATCACCTCAAGAAAGAGACCCCAAAATAAAAACCCCAAGGAACATTATAGCCAAATTATAGAAGTAATAGGTCAAGGAAAAAAATACTACAAGTGGCCAGAAAGAAACAATTCAAATATCATGGAGCCACAATCAGGAATATACAAGACTTAGCAGCTGCAACATTAAAGGATTGGACATCATGGAACACGATATTCTGGAAGGCGAAGGAGCTAGTACTGCAATCAAGAATCACCTACCTAGTGAAATCAATCGAACCATTCTGGAGAGCAATTTGGAACCATGCCCAAAGGGCAACCGAACTACGCCTGCCCTTTGATCCAGCAATACTTCTACTAGGTCTATACTCCAAAAAGATCATAAAAAAGGGAAAATGGTGGCAGCGAGGTGGCACAGTGGATAGAGCTCTGACCTTGGAGTCAGGAGGACTTGAGTTCAGCCTCAGCCACTTGACACTTACTAGCTGTGTGACCCAGGGCAAGTCACTTAACCCCGATTGCCTAAGCAAGAAGAAAAGGGGGAAATGACTTACATATGCAAAAATATTAATAGCACCCTTTTTTGCAGTGGCAAAATATTGGAAATTGAGAGGATGCCCATCAACTAGGGAATGGCTGAACAAGCTGTGGTATATGAATGTAACAGAATACTATTGTGCAATAAGAAATGATGGGCAGGCAGATTTCAGAAAAATCTAGAAAGAACTGATGTAAAGTGAAATGAGCAGGACCAGGAAAACATTGTACACTGTATCAGCAACATTGTGCAATGATCAACTATGAATGACTTGGCTCTTCTTGGCAATAGGATGATCCGAGACAAGTACAAAGGACTTATGAAGGAAAATGCTATCCATATCCAGATAAAGAATTGATGGGCTCTGAATGCAGATTGAAGCACACTTTTTTTTTCACTTACTTTATTCTTTTCCATGGCTTTTTTTCTTTTGATCTGTTTCTTCTTTCACAGTTGGGACTAATGTGAAATATGTTTTACATGATAGCACATACATAACCTATATAAAATTGCCTACCATTTTATAAAGAGGGGAGAGAAGGGAGGGAGAAAAACTTGGAACTCAAAATCTTGTAAAAGCGAATGCTAAAAATTGTCCTGACATGTAATTGGGGAAAAATATTATTACAAAATTTTTTTTAAAAAAAGAACGTTAAGCTCCTTGAGTGCAGGCAATGTTTGTTTTTGTCGTTCCCAGCAACTGGCACATTGTAAGCACTTAATAAATACTTGTTTAATTGAACGTTGGCTTCAGTAGGCCTTGGGCACAGTAGCAAAAACTCCTCTCGTGATGATGATGAGGCGGTGCTGAAGATACAACACTTTTGTATCACACTTTTATATTTTTTCAAACAACCTTCCCAAATATCATTTCATTCAACCTTCATAACTACCCCGTGAGATAATCAGGACAAGTATGATTCTCATCAATTTAAAAATGAAGAAACAGACTCCGAGAGTTTCCATGATTCATCCTAGGTCAGATAGCTCATGGCAGGGGCAGGATGAGGACACAAGTTTCCTGAGTCTTTGTCTGGTACTCAAAAATTAAGTGGATTTGGGAGATGTGTCAAGACTGTGGGCTGACAAACACCAAGGACTATTGCCCGATTTATCACCGGCAGAATGATTGAGGACCTGAGCCCAGACAAAGATAATCCATCTGTGTTCATCAAAGCCAAGAATAGTGTCTCAGTTCATACCAGTGCTTCTTCACCTGCCTGTGTTACAGTGTGTGCCCCCATTTTTTCCTGTAGGTCTTTGAGTACTGGCTGGATGACATGTATCTTAACAACCGTTTGGCTCTTCCAGTCAACTCCAGTCCAGCTGTGATCTTTGCTCGACAGAATTTCCAGGATGTGAATGATCAGTTAAGGTAAGGCTTCTTTTAAACGCTGGACTAAATGTTACACAAGGTCATTTCCCTCCCCACCCCCACGTAGCCTTTTATAGTCCTTTGCCTAACACAGCACACTGGGAAAGGGAAAAGCAGAAAGTTTCCATCTCTGGCTCTTTCTGGAGTGGGGCCCAAATGAGATTAAAATGTAATTGGGAAATACTTAACAAAATAAATGAAAACAAAGTAAAAGTTAATAATACATTTTAAAACTGTGAATACGTAGCTCATAGGGATCCTTATGCAGGGATTTGTTGTTGCTGTTCTTGAGGAATCATTTCAGTTGCGTCCTACTCTTCGCGACCCCATTAGGGGTTTTTGTGAAAGAGATACTAGAATGGCTTGCCATTTAGTGGCCGGCATTTCCATTTCAGTTTGACACTACTGCTATAAGGGATACTTGGAAAGTGTTTCCTCTGTGATTAAAACATAAGGAGACAGTCATCCAGGGTTATTGTGACCAGAATGAACCGGAAATAGGAATCTGAGTGTCTCACTCACCCAGAACCATTCCTTTGGGAAGGCTCATATCTGGATCAGGATATCAGAGCTGGGGAAAGTCTTTTGTGTGCTCTAGACAAGATTGGAAAATAACACTACTATTCTCCCCCCACAATTTCTCCATCATGCTTTAAAATTTGTTCCCACTGTGTTTTACTGTTCCCTGGGGATTTTCAGATTTGACTCTAACACATAGAACTTGATTAAGCACAAAATAAATACCTATGCACCGTGAAGTATAGAATTTTCTGGCATTAGGAATGTGCTTTTATAAAAATGTCCCTCATTGGACACAGACCTTGTGTTGAGCCCTAGTCAATTACATACCTTACCTATCCTCTATTGTTGGCCCTTGGGACCGTGACAGGTCATACTCTTTCCATAAAGGAAAACTACTGAGCTTTAGACAAAACACCATCATGATATACTCAAAACCATTCATCACAGACTGTCCCCAAACCAAAGCATTTTATAGGAGGAATAAAAACTATTCCTTCTTTTCCACAGAATGTCTTCCATATGCTACAATTTCAGAGCTCACTGAGCTGTAATAAAAACCTCTGTGCTAATTGCCCCTGTCTGAGGTATGATTTACAGGTAGGAGAAGAGAGGAAGAGGAGAAAGAGAGGGAAGAGAGAAAGAAGAGAAGGAGACAGGGAAGGGGAAGGGTCAGGGGAAGGAAGGTGGGAAGGGAGCAAAGGGGAGAGGAAGAGGAAGGGACAGGGAGAATCTCTCAGGCACTTCAGAGAAACGGAAATTTCCATTCATTCCTGGGCTGAGCCTCCATTGCTGTTAATACTTCTACACAAAGAGCTTTCCTGGGCATGTGACTATGAGGCTTCTCTTGGCTACTGTAACTCCTTAGTAAGATCCTTTTGAACACTGGGACACACCTAACACCTTCAATTCAATTTAACTAGAATTTATTGAAGGGCCAGCTACAATCTACTGGGCTAAGTGCTAGAAATACAAAGACAAAACAACAAACAAAACAACAAACTAAAAACTACCTGTCTTGGCTTCTAGGAGCTTACATTCTACCTTGGATAGTGATTGTATTGTAAGGAATTTGGGGTCTAGAGCCTAAGGTTAGGAACTAATGTGGGAAAAATAAACTTGTATAAAATTATGCATGTACATGTTATCTCCCTCATTAGAATGTAAGCTCCTTGAGTTCAGGAACTATTTCATTTTGGTTTTTGCATCCTCCTTGCTTGGCACAAGATACTTACTGAAATGCTAAGTGATTTGTCAAATAGGAATAAGAGAGGCAAGGGACAAATATAATTGTACAGGGAGAAGATGTTTCTTTTGATCTGTGCAAAACGGTTTCCTTAAAAAAATTGCAGATGTCCTTCAGTAAAATCTGTGACAGAAATTGTCCAGCAATCCATTGATAGGTACTCCTGCCCATCATAACCATCAACAATGCAGAGATTTGATAAAAAAAAAAAACAGTTTATCATACTCAGAGCGTAGACTCGCTATATATAAAAATTACTCAGTGAGCCTTGAGCATCAGTTTCAGTTACCTTATGTAGATTTTAGTTACATAGGCAGAAGGGGCTACAATGGAATTTCACAGAAAGCAGAAAGGGAAGAACTGTATCAGATAAAACAGGATACTAGCAGGTAAGCATTGGTACCAGAAATCTCAAGCAGTAAATTTGTGATAGACCAAGAAATAACCAGATAATAGCAGGGCTATATGTGATGTCTCTGCTTGATTTTGCTGACTCTACTTAGTGATCTGCTCTGCTCATCTTAAGTAAAGGTAAGTAGGAAGGTTAAGCTGGAAATGATCTTACTACAGAGCCTTCCAGAAGGGTTAGCGAAGCAAAGAGGCAGAAGGTCTTCAGGAAGGTTCTTCCTCCTTTCTCAAGAAAAAAAAATAATTCATACACCTGGAAAATTTCTTAAATTATGGAGCTTCCACTGACAAGAGCTTTAGTAGATAAATCAATCAAGTGTTTATTAAATATCTATTGTGTGCCTAGCACTTTGAAAGGTACTTAGGGGAATGCAAACAACCATATAGCACCCAGGCACCCCACATTCCCACGGGATTCAGAAAAGCTTTTCCTAGTACTATGTGGGTCTGAATCTATTTTTTAAAAAAACCCACAGCTCATGAGCTTCCATAGATATGTTTACTTTTACTAGGCATCCAGAGACCACACAGTTCAAATAAAAGGTATTTAATCAAATGGTAATAGAACTTTTCTCCACATAAACCTGAGTCACATTCTCCCACAAATATATACACTGTCAGTCGGAAGAATGCATCCCTCTAGGGAACACACAGGGATGATCATGCATTTGGGAAATACCCGAGGCCAAGGAACACACATAAGAAGCATTGTGGAGGGGAACATGTTGCCAGGGCACGTGTGTAGAAGGGCTCTCAGGTAGAGAATACGTATGGATGTTCATTTCTGTCACTAAAGAACTGCTGACATCATCACCACACTGCTCCCACTGGGCCTACCCCTTTGCTCCCCTTGAATGTGTCCCATGTAGTCTCTGCTAGACATTACTTCTCTGGGCACTTGGTTGTGAAGCTTCTGGGTTTCCGCTGGACAACTCAGCTAATATGCTAGCTTTTTCCCATTTTGTCTGCCATCTCCCTTTGTAGCTTAGAGCCCAGAGGCTTAAGCTTCAGTCCCTTCAATTATGAGAGAGGCAGGCTCTCACACCCCCTCATTATGCCAGGGTAAAGCATCTGATAGCACAAAAAAGTCCCCTCTTATTTCTGTCCATTCTTCACTGCCAGTCAGCACCCTTTCAAAAATCATATTTAGGGGATGCCTTTCAATAAATTGTCAAAGACTATCTAAATCTGAAGCCCTAAAATCTTTCTCAACCCACCAAGATCTTTCAGGTCTCCCACGTAGAAAGGGAGGAGGGAAGGGAAGGAACCAAAAAGGCCCGGTGGAGGTAGGTAAAAGCCACCTCAATGCTTTGTGTTCCAAATTCCTGCCAAGTGCATATTTTGCCAAATAACAAACCTCCCATGCTTTGGATTGCTTTAGATACATACAAGACAAGGTACCTGCCTCAGAAAGCCTACATTCTACTTAAAGAGGCCAGGCACAGAGGTAAGGGCAGTTGATTAATAAGACCAGGTAGTCTTTGCTAAGGGCCAAATGAGTGGTAGAGACTGGAATTGTTTTGGGATTTCAGAGGAGGAGAAAGATCACCAAGGCATTTAATGGTCAGGGAGAGCTTCACAAAGTAGCAACTTAGCTGGGGTCTCAGAGACATTCAGGAGAGGGGGTAGGAGAAGTCTAGGAAGGAAAGGCCTGAGTAAAATACACAAAAAAACTTTGGGACCAGGCACCACATTTTGCTTTGAAAAGAGAAGTATCAGTAAAGCAACAGAGAAACAGACTAAAAGAATGATGGATATAAGCAAGCAGGCAATCCTTCAAGATTATTGTATATATATTAATGTATGATGTTTATTTATGCATATGCTGCATTCATCCTCCTCTGACAATAGAATGTAGGCTCCTTGAGAGCAGAGACTTAAATTTTTGTTTTTGTATCTCCAGCCTATTAAAAGTAGGTACTTGATAATAACAATAGCTAACATTTATACAAGGTGTCCAAAAGTCAGAATACGGTTTTAAGCTTAACAGTCACTGCACCATGAGTTTTGGGACACCCTCTACATGGATTTAAAGTTTGTAAAGCACTTTATGAATATAATCTTACTTGAGCATTGCACTAACCCAGTTATATAGATAGTACAGGTATCATATTATTCTTGTTTTATAGATAAGGAAAATAAGGCTCAGAAAGATAATAAAAGTTTATTGAACCATTATGGGCAGGCAGTTAGGTGGTACAGTGGATAGACCACTGGGTTTGAAATCAGGAAGACTCATCTTTATGAGTTCAAATCCAGCCTCATACACTTACTACCTATTTGACCCTGGGCAAGTCATTTAACCCTGTTTGCCTCAGTTTCTTCATCTGTAAAATGAGCTGGAGAAGGAAATGGCAAGATACTCCAGTATTTGGAAAAAACAAAACAAAAAACCAAAAAGCCAAACGAGAGCTGGACACAAAAACTAAAATGACTACACAATCACACCATTATGTGTAGGGCACTGTAGTGGGCCATGGGCAAAATTAATCTGGAAGTGGGCCTTAAAAATAGAACATACACTTCCTCTCCACTCCACTCTATTTGTGTTTAATTTTCCTGGGACTCTGTGTTGTGGTGGGGAAAGACACAAACTGTATTTGCTGCAGCAGATGAATCACAAGTGATTGAATGAATAAATGAAAACATTTATTAAGCACTGTGTGCTAAGCACAGTGTTCCACATAAAGCTTGTGGGAATACAAGTATAAAAGCAAGGCCATTCCCTGCTCTCAATGGCCTTACATTCTAATAAGGGAAGACCATATACATGGGGGAGTGGTGATGAGAGGTACACTTTCGCTATGAAAGTTACGTGGATGGCGAG